AAGGAAAGAATGAGGGGAGTAGTGGTAACTGAGGAATAATTTGGCAGAATAGAAAGAGGGAGAAGCCAACTCAGCAGCAGCAGGTGCAGATGTGATGAGCAGGGGGAGACACAGAAAGGAAGCAGATAAGCACGCAGGCCGCAAAGCTAAATTTAATCACTGGGTGTGTTTATGGGAAACTGCGAAACCACCCACATTTTTGTTTCTCTCACACTGATTCAACCACATGATAACTGCTCACACAAGTGAAGGTCAAACAATGGTTTTGCCAGCTGAATACCAGAATATGACATTATGGTCAAAAAATGAGAATGATATAGGATTTATTGACTGTACACTTTATCACACACACCTATTAAAACACAACAAGCCAGTATATGTCAAGCAATGTCCCATTTCTGCCGAAAAAGCCGCAGCCCTAGATGTCATGATAGGAGATTTATTGACTATAGGAGTAATAAAGCCCACACTCCTGTCAATCCTGTGCCAAAGCCTAACAAACCTGGCGTATGGCGTTTCATACAAGACTTAAGGCAAATTAATGCAGTCAACATTGCTCTGCCACCTCTCGTTTCAGATGTTCACAGCATATTGACATGCATTACATACACATTTTACCGTGGTGGATTTATGCTCTGCCTTTTTCTCAGTACCTGTGCATGAAGACACACAGCCGTTATTTGCATTCACACATAGAAATAAGCAGTACACTTGGACTCTTTGCCCCAAGACATGATAGACAGCCCTGCTGCTTTCTCAATGGTGGTCCGTGCTACCCTGGACAGCTTCACTCCTCCAGGGCTGTACGGGATGACCTCCTGCTCTGTGCTGAAAGTGAAAAAAAACTATGTCAAACTGCTACACACATGCTTCTCCAGCACCTCCAACAGACTGGCCACAAAGCATCAGCAAAGAAAATGCAGTACTGTCAGACTTATGTTCAATATTTGGGATTCACACTGTCTCACGGAAAACGTTCCATGACTGCAGACAGGGTCAAAGCTGTGACCTCTGTCCCTCGGCCCACTACACAGAAGGAAATGTTGTCCTTATTAGGCATGGTGAACTATTGCAGACAGTGGATACCAGACTGTTCTTTTCATGACCACATTCTGCGTGACTGTTGTAAAAAAAGACAAGCCTCCTCGAATACTGTGGTCCAGAGAAATGACTGCCTCTTTAAATGCATTAAAGGGAGTGCTGACCTCCCCCACTCAAAGGTGCTGCCTGTGGGAATGCCGGCCTGCCTGAGAGCAGTAGCAGCTTGCGCTATCATGATAAGGGACTGCGAGAAGCTTACACTCTCACATGACACTATTCTACACACCAATCACCAGGTCACGACCATTCTAGTAAACATAACTACACAACATATGCAAATCTCACTATAAAAGCGAGCAGCACACATGATTCGCCAGGACATTTATTGATCCATATGCTGTGTTCTTCTGACCGACGGGATGGCTCAGACAGGCTTGACGATCATGACTGCATGACATGTATAAAGGAATCCAAAGGAATCACGTCCAGATTTAGAGCTCATTTACATTTAGAGGCCAACAATGGCGTTACACTCGCCTAACACAGGAACTCGATTTTGCACCATCCAAAACCTGTAAATGTAAAAGACATGTTGTGATTTTTGGGTCTGACTGGTTACAGCAGGACCTATGTCCCAGACTATGTTGCCCTTACCTCCCCTCTGCGCGTTTTGGTAAATGAACAAGGCATGAGAAACCTATCTGCTCCCCTATCATGGACTACAGAAGCAGAACAGGCGTTTATACAGTTAAAACAACAGCTTTCTGTCGCCTCTGACCTTGCTGTGCCAGATTACGCCTTGCCTTTTCATCTTGATGTTTCTGGAACTGGAACCCATGTCAATGGTATCCTGTTCCAGAAAAAGGGGGAGAGAGAGAAAAGTGTAGACATATGTAAGTGCAATGAAGAAAGTGAGAAGAAAGTGAGAAGAAAGGAGAGCGGCAAAGCAGAGAAATGAAGGATGACGATGAGAAGAGGGCGAGTGGAAAAAGCTGGGTGTTGGAGCTAAGCTATAAAACCAGGAGGGGGGAAACAGAGTGATAGGAAGGGAGGAGTGAGGCAAGGCTGCAGAAGAGGTGTGAAGACTCATCTTTTTCTGGATGGGTGTGAGTTAAGGCCGGAGCAGAGAGAGGCCTGGGAGCACAGCATAGCCTAGTGGTAATAAACCAGGAAACCCCAGTAGAGAAACAGACAACATCAGCTATAAGGAAGCTATAAAGTGTTTTTAAAATCAAAATATAGTCTTCAGTCTGAGCTTGATATCTTTAAAGTTGATTGCTAGCTAGTTTACTCTTATAGGGAAATCGGTTAAAAGGGACCGTTTCAGAAATTTTAGAAGTCATGTTTGTTTTTGTACATGTTATGAGATATTTAATTCATAAAATACACATATCAAGGGAAATTCCAGTCCCCTTGACATATTTTGTTTTAAATTGTATAAAACAGTATTGTGTCCATAGCATAAAATGTAGCGTACGGTAAAGGAAACAGTTGGGTAATCAATTGAATCTAAATAGGTTTCAGTATTGAACAGCATTACAGCAAATATACAGATGTTTTTCTCGGGCTTTGCAGCCAAATTGTACTTTTTGAAAAAAAAAAAAAAAAAATCTTTTCTTGCACAGCCGTTCCTCCAGATGACATTCCATTTTGTCCAGGAAAAGAAATAATCATTGATTACACAGACATGGTGGACAGAGTAGGTGGTTACAGGTACCTGCTGGTGGCTGTGGATGCATTTTCAGGTTGGCCAGAAGCCTGGCCGACAGCAAGTGAAAACAGTGGAACTGTGGTGAAGTGTCTGATTAATCATTATATACCACAGCATGGGTTTCCCGAGGTCATAAGGTCGGACAACGGTTCACATTTCAGGAACCACGATCTGCAGAAGGTTGAAGCCGCATTAGGTTTGAAACATAAGTTTGGCTCAGTTTACCACCCCCAATCCCAGGGGAAAGTGGAAAGGATGAATCAAACTCTAAAAACTAAATTGGCTAAAATCTGTGCACAGACCAAATTAGATTGGGTTAAGGCATTGCCTCTTGCATTAATGTCCATAAGATGCTCAGTAAATCAAACCTCTGGTTACACTCCATTTGAGTTGGAGCATGGCAGGCCTTTTCCTGGCCCCTCCTCTCGCCTGTTAATGTCGGATGAAGCTGATTCAGACCTCGATCCGAGGACATATTATAACATGCTCCGCAGTTTTGTTGCCCAGTATTCCTCACAGGTTCGCTGAAAGAAACCAGCAAGAGCTGAAAGAGGCTGCACCTGGAGTGGACTACGTCCTCCTGAAAGTCACAAAGAGAAAGTGGGCTGAGCCTCGCTGGACAGGCCCTTACCGCATAACAGAGCGGACCTCCCACGCTGTCAGGCTCGAAGGGAAAGGTGACACCTGGTTTCATTACACACAGTGCGCTGCTGCCACCGAACCAGGAAGAACCTTGAGAGAGGTGCAGAAGGACCTGTCAGAAGGAGCTGCAACAGCATCACCAACCACTTGAGGGAGCCAACGCTCAACCTACAAGCCGGCTGGTTACAAAAGGGGGTGTTCTTCATACTGAACTAAACATTTTTATTTTTCTATTTTTAACATCTTTTATGATTTTGCTTTTATATTGGCTTGAGTTGTTAAGATTTACATTTTACATTGCAATAGTTTTAATCGCTGAAAGCTCATTTAAAGTTGTGTCACTGATATTTTTTGTTGCTCTTTAACTCCTAGAACACGCCCTTGGCGAGGTGGGGGGAACTGGACCACGTTTCTGTGCCCCATCATCTTCTATTAGAAGACTTACAAGCTAAGTAAACATGTCTTGGCCCTTTCCCCTGAAATGACAGGCAGGCAAAGATGTTCTGTTGTATTCCATGCATTCGATCCCTCTTCCAGAGACTGATTGTTACAGCTCTCACTCCGGAGGATAAGGATCTCGCCCTGCAGATGCCTTTATTGGCTAGTCAACTTCCCACCTCCTCGCCAACGGATGATGAAGACTCTGATCGTGATGATGACGAACATTATCGTCTTTCTCTTGTATAAATGCTTCTAGAATGGTTGTTTCTCTGTGGTGTTTTGTATTATGCTTGTTATCAATTGTTTCCCTCACCCACTTCCTCTTGAAGGATATATCTGGTTGAACTGTGTCTGGTCGGGTTGTGAGGGTTAAGCGATGTTCTCAGGGTCTCCGGACTTAAGCCTGAGCAAATGTGTACTCCGACCACTGGATATAAATTGCTTTTTTCCACACCCCTTCCTCACGTTTTACCATATTTACTTTTTGAATGTCCTTAGCAGTTACCGTTCTGGGTTTATTTTACTGTTGATTTATTCTTTCACATTTTTACGTTTATATCTCTCATTATTATAGTATACTCTGTACTCTCCACATTTTTATCATTACTTATGCTTTTTGGTTGCTGGGTTACATGAACTGTTAATTTTGTGTCACTACCCTGGTTGCGCTGACTCGTTGTATCCATGTGTGCAGGATAGCTGTTACTGCTTTCGTCTGGAACCGAGACTGATTGCAGCCGACCCCTGGGCAGGGTGGTGCCTGGACTCTTTTCTCCTCATCTGCAATGACAGATAAAGACAAATGATAAGACCCGAGGAGTTTTTCGAGCCAGGCTTCGACACGTCTCTGTGTTCCTTTGAATGTTACTTATTTTTGTGTGTTGACCCATTTTAAGATGGGTCAAAAGGGGGATTTGAAGAAAATATAATCTGTTTAAACATTGTTCAGCTTTAAAGTTACTGTGCAACTGTAATAAAAATGTGCTCACGACTTTGGCCTTGAGAGCGATAAGAAGCGATCGCCTCATCCTGCAGGTGCAAGATATCTACACGCCGAAGAGGCTAGATTTCCTTTTATGGAGTTGTTTTTCTGCTAGTGCAGCACTTCCCCCTGTAAGTTTTAGAGAATATATACCCATCCTCACAGCAAATCTTTGGAATCTCCTGATGTGAGCTGTTGTTGAGAGGTTGTCTCTGTCTCAATAAAGTTCACTGATTCCCCATCTGCAGGTGTACGGTTGTCTTCATTCTCCGCCAGCCTGGTTAAGTCAATTCCTCCTTAACATCTAAAAGAACCTATTTAATGAAGGAAGACGGGTTCACTCTGTGTTTAATATTATTCTATTGTTGTTGTTTTTTTTATATCCTTCATAATGAAATGAGTGTGCCGACTAGAAAAATCAACCGAGCGTGACCGAAGAGAAAACAGATGATGGTTCCAATGCCGGAGAGATTGTCGAACGGAAGAGCCATAGAAGTTCCGTAGTGTGAAGGTATTTCGGCTATTTCAAGTCTGACAAAAAACAGAGTAGCGTGCACTGTAAATTGTGCCGAAAGCAAGTCTGCATGCGTCACACTGTGCGCCACGTTATTGTTTCGGTGAAATGAATTTCTACAATACTGTTACTGTTAATTCTACTCTCTGCAGTGTTTAAATGCTTACATATACACACAGTTACTGTCCGTCCACACATACGACTCGGTTCTGCTTCTATGCCCCAGCTTTGTTTACTTTTTCCCACCGAGGCTTCTAGACTTCTGATTGGCCAACATTTCTGCACGGTTAGGAATCTAGCGCCACCTGCTGCTTTGGCATGTTCATAGCAGCGTTTTCCTTCATTTCTGCCTTTATGTGTGGACGGGATTATTTTTTAAAACGAAAACGGAAAATCTCCGTTTTCAAAAATACCCGTGTACGTGTGGACGTAGCCTCAGTCTCTGACTGGAAGCGCTAATTCGTCATTCGGCTTTTGTCAGACTAAAGTAACTGTTAAAACTGTTTGAAAAGCTAAGCTATACAACAAGGAGAGATTGAGAATTTCCTTTTAGTTCTCAGTTTATTTGATATTGACAAAAGTTAGTCAGTTTTGTCTGTTCTTCTGTAAAACAAACTAAGATTTATTTTTAGAATTAATATTTTGTTTCTAAGTGGAATTGACAATTTAGTCTGTTTTGTTTGTTCTATTTTGAAACTTAAACGCTTTAGCGGCTGCCTTTTGTGTAGTTTGCAATATTTGCCTTTATTTATCTGAAAAAGTCTCATGTTCCTTAAGTACATCTACCCTGTTGAACTTATTATGGGAAATAAATACTTAAATCAAAACAAGCTGCTGATTATTTCACATTTTACTTGTGAGCAAATCTTACAAATATAGTTATTTGGCTTATATCGTGATAGATATCGTTATCGACTGAAATGAAAAAAACATATCGTGATATGAAAAAATCTCATATCGCCCAGCTCTACCCACAATATACTTGGTCTTGGGGGAAATGAGTACCTAGGTTGGCCAGGCATTTTATCTTGACCTTCATTGTTAGCGCCTACTGTTCAAAGTTGATCTTGAAAAAAAGAATTTAAGAAACCACATCAAGTTATATAAATAATATGAAAGGACACGTATAGAGCTGTCCAACACGCTTTTTATTCTTCAATATGACGTCCTACAATGTAACAACCATAACAGGCTGACGTCAGCATGCTATAACAAAAACATCATAAAACATCAAAGTTGTCGTTTAGCCCTCGCCGTTTCAGGTGGAGTTGTGCTCACTGAGTGATGTTGTTTGCCTCACAGACTCAGACTCACTTGACATTTTCAAATTGGTCTTGAGCAATAGTTCCTGAGGCTTTCTGAAGGTCTTCCACACAGTTTTCTTTGGATTTTGGTTACTTTTTCACTCACTTTTTGTCCAGTCCATTTCCAGAGGAATTTTCTTAAGCCACTTAACACTGACCTATGAATCGTTCAAGCATAAAAAAGACACCTAACTCAAAGTATAAACCTTTGTTGTTTCTACACATGACTTATCAAAAAAAACAACCTTAAACTGGATCTTTAGGCACTTTGTTACAAGCAGCCTGTCACAAAAACACATGATATGGTGCAACTTTTTTATTGCCATAAAATGGCAAAGATAAAACAGTTTAATCCATCCACCGCAAATAAGGCAGAAAAAAATCCAGCGAAGATCTGAGACGGGAGACAGGAGCCAAGAGATGCATCTCGACCTTCTGTTGTTTCATCTACTGCTTGTTGGAGACTCATGGTTCAAGGATGAGTTCCAGCCGGTGGTGTTGATGGAATTATGACTACAGAAAAGTCAGATTTTGATCCACCAAGCAATGCAGTAAAAGCACACCTGGACAAAATAATCATAATTTTGATCGTCTTGACAGGAAACAGAACATGTAATTCCCATTTTCCTTGTAAAATGTAAAGAAATGAGGAGTAGCTCAAGACTTTTTGTACTGTATCTTTTTTCTTCCACAGAATACAAAACAGTGTTGCATAGCGCATTCACACGATTCAATACAACATAAAGTAGTATTTCTGACTTATTACTTTCCCACTAAATCAAGGCTCGACTTTTATTGTCATTTGAATGATTTATTTACACAGCAGAGATTAGAAAAGATCCTGAAATATTCCGGTTCCCTGTTAAAATGTTTTACCCTTGATGAATCTGTGAGACACAAAAAAACAACACAATGACGGGTTGTCATCATTGGCAGTATCTCAGAACGTACTGTATTTTGGTAAACGAACAATTTTGGAGATGTACTCTAATCTTAAAGTAAAAAAAAAACCTTCTTGATGAAAATATCTCAGTACAGCCATTAGTCTGTTATTAACGTCTAAATTATACTAGACTACCAGAGTCTAAAGTGAGGCTTTCAGTATCATAGCATGGAAGAAGCCCACTGAGGGTCGGCCAGGTCATCTCGTGTAATATCATCACGTTCGCACCAGGCAGAGGACAGGGCTTCAACAACAGACAAGATTACAGGGGGTGTCTGTCTCTCACACTCTATTCCCACCAGACCACTCTCCTATTTCCATAAAGGGTCTTCTCAAACGATTGCCTGTGAGGTAAGCTGTGCTTCAGAGAGTGAATGAGTCCAAATCTGTGGACCTCTCTCAGCTCCATTTGCTGTTGAGAAATATGATCTGAACTGTTGTTAAAAAAGAAAGAAACAAAAGTGAGATTATGGTTTAGAAGTTTGAGTATTTTAGATGTATGTAGTCCAAACTTGGAGCCACTTGTCCTTTCAGAAGGACTGAGAACACCTGGATACTCAGCGCCAGAATAAACCAGACTGTTTTGTTTGAGGATGAAGAACCTGAGATCCAACTTATATATATAGCCTCTCATCTCAAAGCATTCAAAGCAAATAAACCAGCAACATTAACTCAAGGGCTTGAGGTTAGATGAAAAACCAGAGAGGCTGGCTTCTTTCTTGTCTCTCAAATTCCTATCTGTAACTTTTTCGTAATTTTATGCTTTGATTTTTTTAATTTTCTTTTTTTTTTTTTTGTAGATTTCCTTTAGAGTTTCTAGCTGCTATTTTTATTATGTTTTAGTCAGAAGATTAATGGTTTGAGCCCACGGGGTACACAAGAACAGGCAGCTGTGGGCGATAAAACTGGAAGATCAATGGATTTTAACATTAATGATGTTCCTGTTAATTATACCCCAATCCTGCTGGAGATACTGTTGGCACAGTCATAACAAGAGTTGTTTATGTCTTTGGTGAAGGGTCATTATATGTACAAGCCCTGGTTGGAGATCTATCCCTTTTTAATTATCTCTCCATTTGTTAAGTCCTGGTCATATACCCGCTGCATCGTGCTGCCAGCTGCACTTTTGAACTATAATGAGAAGGGGCAAGATTAATTATATTTTTAAGGCAAGGATGTAATAAACAACATCATGGAGGTCATACAAAGCAAACACTATCACAAGAATGTCCAGAGGATAACAAAAAACGACAAAGATTCAAAACTCAAAACGGGCAAATCTAAACGTAATATTTTGATTTATATGCTTACAGACACTTTGGTTATTAGTCAGTGTATGACTGGCACAAAATCTTCATATCGCCAATACAGAAAAGGCTTCGTGGTTGGTTTCACTAATCCGAGAACAACCACTCTACAGTTTAATAAAAACTGTAGGTTTTGTTTTAACTTTAATTGGTCTTTTTAGTTGGACTGTAATTACAGACGCCTTGTCGCTTTTCAGGAATTCTTAACAGGATTTGATTTGGAAGCCTCGACAACCAAAATCCAAAACCGCACCATTGCTTTCAAAAGAACAATGAAATCTTTGTCAGATGCGTCGACAATTAAATTTGCGTGTTCAAAACAATGGATTATCTTGGTGGATGGTTGGAAATGAAAGCATTCAAGTTAATTTCCCCCCAGATTTCTGGAAAAGACAAAAACACATTTACCAGACGTGCTGAGAGACGATCCTCGAGAAAAGCTAAGAGCTCCCCTGTCAGTAGTGCGTAGCATTGTGTGGTGCTAAGTGCCTCTGACTGAGTTCACTGAAATCATCTGTGCCTTCATTATCACCACAGAAACTGTACAAAGTCACTTGAATTGAACAAAAAAGATTGCATGACTTCATTGTTTTGTATTTTGGTTTAATTTTATGTACCACTGGCTTTTAGAAATACTCGGGTCCAAAAACTGAAATAGCAAGAGAGGTTTGGGGCCATGCTCCCTAATGAAATGCTGATTTCCCTTATCTATATGTACATTTTAAGATGTTGGCAAACATTGTTCGTGTGGCTGCTCTGAGTGTTTCGTCTCTCACTTTTTGATTTTTAGCATCTCTGCAGCATTGTTTCTCTCTCTGTCTGGATAGACAAACAGATACCTTTCATCTCTGTATCATTTCTCACATTTCTCAAACTGCACATAAATACCAGTGACACATTGTTTGTACTATATCATTTTTATACATCATTTCAGCATATTAATGAAGGTTACTAGGCTGCTCCCTTATTCACAGTGGGAATAATCCTTTTTATTCTGCACCTAATAAATATCTAAGTAAAGATCAGAATTCCCAGCAGATTACAGCATTTTTTCATTTTGTAGCAGGAAAACTAAAAATAGTATTTACTATTTTGTGAACTGAGAAGCATTTTTCTAACTAACTACTAAGTTACGAGTAATGTTGGGATTGTACTCATCTAAAAGAAAATCAC